GTGGCGGTGCCGTCCCAGCCCAAGGAGCTGCTAATGGCTCGTTTGGTGCCTCACTGGAGGGCTGGGACAGGAGCTGGGCTGTCGGGCTTCCCCTCCTGGCCATAATCAGTGCCTGGAGGCAGCACCTCTCCCTGGGTACTGAATTTGCTGTGTTGTCTCCCCTCCTCTTCCCACCCCGAGGGGAAATCTCTGCAGCTGGAGCCGGGGATGTGGAGATCTCTTCCTTTTTGCCTTTCCTCTCTTCTAGCTGTGGCTCAGGACTGAGCTTTTGGCTGAAGCCGGGGAGGTACCGACACCCCTGCTCCGCTGAGGTGACAAATGACAGGAAGCACAGGACAGTTAGAGTCAGTTACCTGTGCAGCACTCTCCATACACCCCAAAGCACTTTTTGGGAGTGCTTGAGGCTCCTCGGGGCTGCTGTGGAGTAAACACAGGGCCAGGCTTTGGAGAGCACCCTCTCCACGCCTCACGGAGCGGTGGCCGGGTTACGTTCTGCTTCTCTGGTGTGTGGGATGTCTGCCTCTGAAAATAGTCATCTTTTCTCCCCGCCGTCTGCCTGTGTCTGTCTTCCAGTCTGACGTTTTGTTAAATCTGGGCTGCTTTTTTAGCTTGGTGCTGATGTGAGGAATCTGTACCTCATCCAAGGCTTGCTCGTGTCATGAGCTCACCGCACGTCTCCGGAGCTGGGACCTCCCTGGGCCTTGCAGATCCCGCTGCAGGGTGGCTGCCTCACCCTCCCTCCACCTCTGGCTCCTCCTGGGAGCTGTGGCAGCAGCTGTTGGGGCAGTGTTGGATGTCCCAAAGCTCTCAGGGAGAGGGGGATCCCAGGGCTGGAGCCTGTTCCTTGGGCTGGCAGCTCAGCCCCGGTTCCGTGGCCGGCAGGGCCTGTGCTGAGCTCTCCAGGCGTGGAACTGCTGCACCTCTGGGTGTTGGGAACAGCCCCCAGCTGCCTCCCAGCCAAACCCTGCTCTTGCCAGTGTTGTCTGCTTCTCTCCAGCACTACCTGCCTGGCACTGTAATGACAGGAGCAGAGGTGTGAGGAAATTGCCTCCCAAAGCCAGGCTGTTAACAGCAGCGTGGCTCCACGGGGCTGGTGTGATCCCTGTCAGGCCTGGTGTGACTGAACAGCACTGGGGACACCCTCAGAAAAGGCAGCTCTGGAACGTGCTGCCTCTTGACCTGCTCTTGACAGCCTTGTCAGTGCCTGGGCTGCTCTGGAGCAGTGTGGTCAGAGGTTGATTTATTTATTTCTAGTTGACTATTGGCATTTTCTCTGCTAGGTGCTGCTGCAGGAGCCTGTCTGTACAGCTGGGGCTCATTCTGCTTTCCTGTGTTCCTGTGGCTGCCATACATGACTAAATAGCAAAAACAATCTAGTGGAGTGACTCATCCCTTTAGAGAAGGTGGGATAAGAGCAACAAGAGACAGTAAGATTAAAAGCAGCTCCCACAGGGGAACTGCACTGCACCAAAGCTCCCCAGAGTCTGCTCTGCCTGGGCACCTGCAAGACTCTGGTCATCTGTGGTTTGTAACAGGGAGAAAGAGTTCACAAACTGCCTGATGCAGTAGTTAAAATGAAGGCAAAGGTGGTGTATTTATAAACAAACCCTGCTGTTTCTTGCTCTGTGGCTTTGTCTCAGTTCTGAACTGTTTTGGGTCATCAGAGGAAGGTGAACAGATGAAGGAGCTGAGGCTGGCTCGGGGGTGCTCAGCACACGACTGAATGAGATGCTCCTGGGGCTTGTAACCAGAGTTTTCTCTTCAGCACAGCAAGACCCTGAAAGTCTGAGGGGTTATACTGCTTCCAGACCAGCTTCTGGGGGCTCTGTGTCACCATAAGTCCACTGACAGTAACTGCAGGGCAGCAGAACCTGGGGTTTGAGTCTCCCATTTCCTTTCTCTTCTAGATCAATGAGCTCAGCAATGTTCCTGTCCCTGTCATGTTAATGCCTGATGACTTCAAAGCCTACAGTAAGATTAAGGTGGACAATCATCTATTCAACAAGTAAGTAGGTGCTTTCCAATTTGTCCCTGTAATTAGAGCTCTTTGCTGTGGGGGAGCCTGGCTTGGTGAAGGCCTTTTGGTCTGTTCCCTGCTGTAATGCCAAGAGGATCTGATGTGGGTGGACACATGCCCTGAGTCTGTGCCCAGGCCACTCAACAGGACACAGTGGGGCTCAGTCTGTCACTGAGATGCTGTTTTGTGCTTTGGTTTTGATCCAGGCCAGGTTCCAGAGTGCCACTGCTACAGAGCTCATCCCCTGTAGAGGTCTGAGGAACTGGGTAGTGTTATTTTAGTGTTCACCAAGTGTGACCTGTCCAAAGCCCAGCACAAAACTCCAGCTGGTGTTGGCTGCACCTTTTGGTTGTGCACAGATGTGATGCAGGATGCTCTCTGCTCTGCTGAGCCATGTCTGGGTGGCCTGGCCTGGCCAGCAGAACCCAAATCACCAGGCCACAGAGAGGAGGGGACAGGAGTCTGCTCCCTGGGACCTGCTAGTCCTTGTCTCTTTGAGCCTGTTCACAGGAGACAGCCATGAAGCTGCACTGTACCCCCAGCCTATGGGGTTCCTGTGGAGTCACCCCCTTCTCCTTTTCCCAAAAGATGAATTTTTGGAAGCCCCTGTGAAGCTGCAGCTGTGCCTGGAGCTGTGTTCCCCTCCCTGGCTCGGGGCGTGTGCAGGGCTCCAGTGCTCCCTGCTTAATGCTTCCTTTTCACCCCCTTTCCCAGGGATCAGCTTTTCAGAGTGGGAGTGTGAGTCAAAAGTTTGTCTTCCCTGGCACCTACAATTTGCAGTAGCTGCTCTTCCCTCTCCTCCCACACAGAGTTTTCATTTCCCCTCTGTTGGTGCAGAGGATTCTCATTGAGAATGAGCTGACAGGATCTCCCCGGGTCCCAGGAGGACCAGCCTCTCTGCTTCCCCCCCCCTGGGGCAGCATCAGAGCAGTGGTGGGGTGCAGATGGGGGGTCCCTCAGCAGTGGGGGGTGCTGTGTGTTGGCTGCTGGGCTGTGCTCTGGGGTCCCCCCCTGCCCAGCTGCCCAGGCCTGGCACCAGAGCTCGCTCTGGCACGGGCCAGACCAGAGCTGATTCACCCCCTCTCCTTTGCTTTCTGGGTGAGAGGGTTTGTGGTGTGGTGACCTTCTGATGCAGGAGTGATCTGATCTGATCTGAAATCAGAGCCCTCCCCCCCCCTTTCCTTCAGCTTTTCATCCTGAACAGGAACAGTGTGGTGCAGGGGGCAGCTGCACCCCGAGCGGAACAAAGCAACAAAGGAGGAGGAAAGAGAAATTGTTCTGTCAAATCTGTGCCTGTGACAGGGCAGATTGTTCTGGAAGAGAGACATCCTCATCCAAAGGGCCTGCTGGTCAAAAGCTGGATCCTGTGAGCATTTCCAGGAACAGATGACTTTTGTAGGCCTCCAGAGAAACAAGCTACCCTAAGGAGGGTAAACACTTGCAGAATAGGCCCTTTGTGGCTAGGAGGGGGCTTGGAGATCCTTGGGGGTTAGCAGCGAAGTGGGAGAAGAATTGAGTTTGATTTCACAAGCTGCTCATGGCACACAAATCTCTTTTCTGCTTTGCCCTAGGGAGAACTTGCCCAGTCGTTTTAAATTCAAGGAGTATTGTCCACTGGTGTTCCGAAACCTGCGGGAGAGGTTTGGGATCGATGATCAGGACTACCAGGTACTGTCCCTTCTCTCCCTGCTCTCCTGTCTCCTCTAGGAGGGAACAACCAAGCTGGCAGAGGAGCTGTGATGTCAGCATTCTTGTGTGGTCAGCTCTGAGGGGTTTGCAGTCGTGGTTGGGGTGGTTTGACCCTCACCCTGAGGGCCCACGGTGCTGGAGAGGATGGCAGAGTGAGATGCTCCCTGCTCCAGAGAGCTTCCAGTTGAGGCATGGAATAGGAGGCAGCAGATGGCTGCAGACAGGCAGGAGCTGGAGGATAACAGTGATCTAGTGCAGAACATCTGCAGGGAGAATGAGTCTGTGGTGGTTTTATGGGTTCAGGTGCTGCTTTCACCGAGCGCGTTGCCAAGTGCTGGTGCCACTGAATTGAGTTTGTGAAGGTGGCTGCTGCTCTGGGACGTGTCCCCTAAGGCCAGAGGCTCAGACTTGCCTTGGAGGGGGGGAGAGATTTTCTTGTATGGACACTGCTGGGCTTAAATCCAGTGAAAGAGAGATGGCACAATTCCTGCAGCCACAGCAGGGCCACTCCCTGGACATCCACCAGCCCAGAGAGGCCCGTGAGCACTGGAGCTGTGGGTGGATGGTGCAAGATGCTTCTTAGTAACCACTTCTGAGGTTAATGTAAAGAAGGGATCTGTTTTCACTAGTGAGACACTGGATCTACTTGATCCAGTTTCGGGTCTTAGGTGCTATGAGGCAAGGAGCAGAGTTGTAGCACCTGCATCCCAGCCTCTGCCCCCCATTCCCAGAGCAAGGGGGAACATGCTGCTCCTTCTGTGAGGAGAGCTGACCTCTGAGGATCCCAGCATCAGTGGCTGGAGCTTTTTGGTTCATTGTGTAACTGTTTCTGTGTCCCCTCTCCTGGCTGCCAGGGCCCATCCTGCTCTGCTGCCTGTTCTCAGGGGTGCTGGGCACTTGCTCAAAGTGAGACACGTTTTTTCCAGCAGATCTGACAGTCATCTTTGCTTTTCTTCAGGCAGGGAGCAGCCACCCCCAGGAGCAGCAGGAGCTGCTGGGTGCCACAGGAGGTGGTGGGTGGCTTTGTCTCCCCTCTGTGCTCAGTGCCTGGTCCTTCCCTGGGAGCCAGGAGCTGCTCACACAGATCCCTCCTGCTTGTGGTGGAAGATCTCTCTTATTTTCAGAGCACACCATGCTCTTCTTGAGCACGTGCCTGTTAGATAGGAGTTTTATTTTTCCCTCCTCCCCTCAGGCCCATTCTCTAGGCAGGGGTGGCACTTGGCTGAGAGAAGCAGTCCCATTGCCTCCTGCTCTGTGGGCAGCAGCTCATGCCAGGCTCTGGCTGGCTCTGGAGGAGCCTCCTTGGCCAGCAACACTCTGCCCCTGGGGCTGGCAGTACCAGGGACTGAATCTCTGTCCTGCCTTCCTCCGTGCCCTTCAGCACACTTGCATGCAGTGAAGTCCTAATTATTATATGTTCCTCATTATTTTTTCCCTGGTCTATCCTCTACAGTATATTTTAGAATTTGTTTTTTTCTCCATTTCTTTCAAGAGATGATGAGAAGCCTGGGAAGTTCCTTGCACAGAACCACCCACAGCCTTGTTCTGGATACCTGCTTTCTCATGCACAGTTTACCTGTTGCTCTGAAGGATTACTTCTCCCAGCCCAGGGGCAGAGCAGTTTGGCTCTTTAGAATTGTCCAGCTAGAAGAGAACACAGAAAACATCCACTGAGATAAATTCAGGTGGATAAAATGTGATGGCTTGAGTGGGAGTTGAGCCAGAATGCTAAATATAACACCCGAGCTGTGGAAGAGGTGGGAGTGACAGGAAGGGAATGAAGTAAACCTAAGGGCTGTGAATTTGGTAATGTCCATATGTGGTCAGGATTTCTGCCTCCCATCTCCTCCAGAAGAAAAGCTCTGTGGTTTTGAGGTGAGGGATGATTAAACTGTAGCACAGCCTGGTCTGCAAATGTCAGCGAGAGGCAAGGGGGCTTTTTTTTTGTTTGCCTGTGTTTTCCTGATGGTTTCTAAAGCCTTTGGCAGGAGCAGAGTTTTCCCTCTGCTTCATTAAAGTTTTAAAAGCTTTAAATGCTTCATTCTGAAAGGAAACCTCTCAGCCTGCTTGCAGCCTGGTGGTAAATCCCTCTTTCACAGCAGGCTCTGTGGCTGTGGCTGCAGAAGAGCCAGCTCCCTCTGCTGTCTGCTCATCATCAGAGAGCTGAGACCAGGAGCAGCTAAAAAATAACCCCAGGAAACACCCAGGGCAGCCCTGAGATCCTGGCACACCCATCTGTCTCGAGCTAAAGAGCACTACCCAGGGTCAGCTCTGCTGTGTCAGAGCACAGCTCTCAGCCCTTCCCCAGCTCCTTGCACCAGTGGCAGGGGAATGCTGGTGAGAGCCTGCTCTGGTGGGTGACAAAATGGCTCCTGAACAAGCACTGGTGGACTTGGGAAGCAGCTGCTGAGAAGTGATGGAGGAGACAAGCAGGGGGCTGCTGACCTGCTTGGCTTTGTGTGGAAGGTGTGAAGAGCAGTGGGGCTCCCAGCCAGTGCCTGGGGGGAGAGAGAGGCACCAGAATGAAGAGTGGCTCAGGGAAGGTGGAGGATTCTTGCTCTGCAGCCTGCCTGGGATTTTCCAGTCGTGCTGGGAGCATGAGGAGAAGCTGCAGCGTGGCGTTGCTAAGGGTGGAGACAGGGAGCTGAAGACAGATGCTGCTGGTTGTTGAAGAACAACCGAGTTATTTATACTCACAGTCCTCTTCATCCAGTTGTAAGAGCAGCAGAGGCTGAGGGTGGCTTTTGGTTTCGGGGTGACCTGTAAGGAATTCTCCAACAAGGAGACCTTTGCCAGTTTAGGCTGTTTTCTGATGGAAAAGGCAGCAGGCTGCTTCATTCCTCTGTGCTGGTTTTCCTTACACCTTGGCAATCTCCTGGCTGTTCTTAAATTTCCAGGAGGCCATGCGAAGAAGTCTTGGCCTGTGTATGCTGCCTCTTTAACAACCCCTTAGTGGAAAACATCTTCAGATAACACCAGGTGTTGGAGGAAAACATGTGAGCAAGCAGAAGGCCCAGGTGAAAGCTCTAAACCCCACGTCCAGACTCCTGAACAGTTGGATTAACCTCAGGAGTGCTGAACACTTGAGGATTCTTGGTTCTTTATCTTGACGACAGGAGCGTGGTTGCAGATGGGCTCTGAAGCTTGGCCAGGAGACTCTCACAGCTCACCAGTGCTGGGCACAAAGTCCCTGGGATGGAGGTGGCAGCTTCTGCCTCTCCCCCTCACCTTTTTTTTTTGTCCTGCTTCCCTCAGAACTCGGTGACACGAAGTGCCCCAGTGAACAGCGACAGCCAGGGCCGGTGCGGGGCCCGCTTCCTCACCACCTACGACAGGAGGTTTGTCATTAAAGCAGTGTCCAGTGAGGATGTAGCAGAGATGCACAACATCTTAAAGAAGTACCATCAGGTAGGGTGAGTCTGGAACCCTGGGAGAGGGGTGGGAAGCATCGTGTGATTCACAGGGCAGCTGGAGCTCGGAGTCGGAGCGTGCAGCCTGGCAGGGCTTGCAGATGGCTTTTGCCAAAGAAAATGGTGTTATTTGGTGTGAGAGGCAGTCGTGGCCCAGCTGCCTGTTCCCTCGCAGTGCTGAGCCCCTCCACAGCTCACCCTGTTCCTTCCATCAAGGAATTATGGCTCACTGGTGCCTGAGATCTGTAAACGTGCTCCTGCTTCAGTCCTTTCAATCAGACTTCCCAGAGAGACCAAGGAGGAGACAGTTACACGCAGCAGCAGGGAAGGAGGTGGCAAAGTGGGACAGCTGGAATGTCCCTGGTCCACGTTGTGTGCCAGCCCAGCTGCTCTTTGCTTCCAGAGCCACAAGAAGTGAAGTTGGCCAGGGCTCAGCTGAGCCCGAGGGTCGGCTGAGCACACCCAGCCTGTCAGTGCAGGCTGGACACACACAGAGGGATGTTCTGGCTGCTTGGGGCTGGGAGCTTCTCGCCATGCCCTGACTGGCTTTTCTGGAGACCCCAGGAGCTTTTGCAAGCCCCCTTTTCCTTTCACATCGTTGTCAGAGGGCTGGAGCTGGAGCCTTTGCTGTCAACTCCTTGCCGAGCCCGTGTCCTGTCCGAGGTGTGTTCTGTGTGACAGCACTGTCCTCCTCTGCCCTGCCCTTCCCTGCTCTCCTGCAGTTCATCGTGGAGTGCCACGGGAACACCCTGCTGCCCCAGTTCCTGGGCATGTACAGACTCACTGTGGATGGTGTGGAGACCTACATGGTGGTCACCAGGAACGTCTTCAGTCACAGGCTGACCGTCCACCGCAAGTACGACCTGAAGGTGAGGCTCTGGAGGGCAGCCACAGAGCTGGGGGCTCCTCCTCCACCAGGCTGGCAGCTCATCTGGGAGTTGGTCTTCTTAACACCTGCTTGCCAAGGTTCTGGACTTGGCTTTTTGCTCAGGGAATTGGGTTTTGAGGGTTCTAGGTGGGGCTTCCCTTGAGGCTCAAAGGTTCTCAGTGGCCCACTCTACAGCAGGGAAATCTGTAAGTCTCTCTCAGGCATGAGAAAGGGGTTGGGCACTGATTTGAGAAATAATTCCATCCTTTTCATGCACGGGGCAATGAGATGGTGTCTGTTAATTCTTGGGGAGTATGACACATTGTGCAGCAATGTTCTTGTCTTTGTTCTTTTATCAGGGCTCAACAGTATCCAGGGAAGCAAGCGATAAGGAGAAGGTATGGACCATCCCTGGCCAACCCTTCCTTTGTCCTGGTGGCTGGAAGCAGATGAGATCCAACTGACTTCCCTTTTCCAAAGGGAAGGTGGAAGCAGAGGATGTTCAGTGAGCCCTGAGTGATAACCTGTTTCTGTCCCACCTTTCAGGCCATGCCCAGTAACTGCTCAGGGAGTGATGGGGTAGATCTGGTGCTGCTCTGCCCTGCTCTCTTATGTTGACACTACCATAAGTGGGAGGAACTTCTTGGGGGACAATCTCCCAAGTACCAAACCCCACATTAGTGCAATGGTGTCTTGAGGGAAGGATTTCTTCATAGTCTTCCCTGAGTACTGAACAGAGTCAGGTCAGCAGTTAGCTTTTGCAACAGATGATTTGTAAACCAGCCCAGTTCCTCTCAGGTTCTTGGCATAGCTCATCACATTTGAAAGGTTTTTGGTGCCATTAGGGAAACTTAGAGCTAAGGATCCCTGCAAAACTTGATGCTGCTGTGGAAAGTCCTGTTGCAATCACAGCAGGAACTCACAGCACTATGTTTTGCACACATGTGTGGGATTTTCAGCTTTAGAACTGCAGCAGTACTCCAGCCTGCCCTAAAATCACATCTCTGGCACAAACCAAGGCACTCCCATTTACACTGAGTGCTCTGGTGTCAAGGCACAGCTTCCTCATGCCCAAGCACCCCCAGCTGGCTGGCTGTTGGCTCTCTAGCTTTTTCTCCTCGTGCAGTTTGTCTCAGACCAGTCATATCAGCTCTATATAAAGCCACCACATGCTCGTGTGTCCTTCTAAGAACAAAATAATTTAATTCCCAGTTGCACAAAGGGGTTGTATGTTCTTCTGTATCCCTGAGAAATCCTCAGGGCCTGCTGGAAGCGGATTCCTCCTGTCAGGAGCCAACCAGATGCATTTCTTTTCTATTCTGGGAGCTGGTCAGGCCATCTCTGGCTGGAGCCCAGCTGTCAAGCTTTCAGCCTGCAGCACATCTTCAAAGTTGAGCTGCTCTCAGTGTCTCCCGTTGGTTTCCCCCTGGGTACAGCTCAGCACATGGATTCATTGACAAATAACGTGCTCTGCTTGATGCCCTTTTCATCCTTGGTGGTCAGGATGAGTCACCTCATCTTATAAATAGGGAAAAGATCCTGGTGCAACCTGCCAGTCGATCTGAGTCTCTGTGCCACCCACACACTGCTCCCAGAGCGGCGTTGCAGCCCTCCCCTGGGAGGCAGGACTTTGGAGAATCTCACACAGGGTTTTCCTTGCAGGCCAAGGATCTACCAACATTCAAGGACAACGACTTCTTGAATGAGGGTCAGAAGCTGCACGTTGGAGAAGAGAGTAAAAAGAACTTCCTGGAGAAGCTGAAGCGGGACGTGGAGGTAAGAGTTTCCTGGGGGGGCAGCTGTTGCTCTGTCTCCCCAAACTGGGTCCTCAGGGTGGCCTCTGGCTCAAGGGGTGCAGCAGTGACTGCAAACCAAGTCATTGCTGGATCAGCCAAGCAAATAGAGCCAGGGTTGTGCTGGTGGCAGTGGGAGTGTGAGCTGGTGTGTAGATTCACTAGTCTAGTAAGGATTTAGCTCTCACTACAGCCCCTTCTCAGGATTTCTGATCCCACGTGGACGCTGATCTCACTCCTCCCTTTCTCCCAGTTTTTAGCTCAGCTGAAAATCATGGACTACAGCTTGCTGGTCGGAATCCACGATGTTGACCGAGCAGAGCAGGAGGAGATGGAAGTGGAGGATCGGGCAGAGGATGAGGAGTGTGAGAACGACGGGCTGGGAGGGAACCCCATCTCCTCCTACGGGACCCCCCCCGACAGCCCGGGGAACCTCCTCAGCTACCCGCGCTTCTTCGGGCCCGGCGAGTTCGACCCCTCCGTCGACGTCTACGCCATGAAGAGCCACGAAAGTGAGTATCCCAGGGCACTGCCCTGGAGAAGGTCTGGAGGGCAGCTGCTCCCGTGGCCTGGCTGGGCTGAAAGGAGTGAGAGGCACCCTGGCAGATGTCTCCTTTGCTGCGCCACCCCTTGTGTGGCTGGTGTGAGCTGGAACGGGGAGGAGCGATGCGTGGGGAGCAGTGGCATGTTCAGGGAGCGTGTGGGCCTCTCTGGTGTGCTGTTTCCAGCCCTTCTTCTCTGCCCTTCTCCAGCTGCCTTTGCTTTCTCTGCTCCTTGCCTCAAACATACCTGCCCTGTGTTTCCTAAGGAGTGGGGTGCAGCTGGGCTTGGCTCACAGCTCAGGGTGTGCTAGCGACTCTCTTGCCTTGCTAGGTGCCCCCAAGAAGGAAGTGTACTTCATGGCCATTATAGACATTCTTACGCCATATGATGCGAAGAAGAAAGCTGCACATGCTGCCAAAACAGTGAAACATGGGGTAAGCAGCCTGCCACGGCAGGGAGGATGGGCTCTGGGGCTTCAGCTTTGCCTGCATGCCTGCGTGTGGATCTGTGAGGTCTCCTGACACTGATTTCTCTACCAGTGTGGAAATTCTCCAGTGAATCTGTGCTCAGGAAGAGCTCCTCCCCTCGCTTACTGTCTCCTCAGGCTCTCTTGGAAGGGCTTTCCCTCTGGTTGCTTGGATTGCTGGTTATACTTCCTTGTACCTCACTGTTTGGGAGGTGCTCCATTTCCCTGCGGTGGCACCAGCAGGCTCAGAGAGCAGCAGTGGATGGCTGCAGGGAGAGGTTTTACCCTGCCCCCTTCCTGGGGCCAGTTCTGTTCCCTGGCAGCAATCCTGAACTTCCCAAAAGGGCTTGAAAAAAAAAAAAACATGCTAGTGAGACATGGAGTTTTTCATACTCCTTCCAAACCTCCTCTAAACCCTGAGGGAACAAATCCCACCCTTTGACTCGGTGGTCTGCAGAAGACCCAGCTGGAGCTAAAGTCATTTTCCTTGGGGATCTCTGTAGACCTCTCTGGATGTTGTTTTTTCCTAGAACTCACAAGTTGTTGGGGGTCTTTCCTGGCAGAGATGGGCTGTGCAGACACGATCACTCCCTGCTGTCCTCCCTCCCTGCCCTTGGCCCTGCTGCAGGCTCTGCCCTTCCAGGAGGGGGTTGTGACTTGTCTCTCCTCTCTGCCTTGCAGGCTGGGGCAGAGATCTCCACCGTGAACCCCGAGCAGTACTCGAAACGCTTCAATGAATTTATCTCCAACATCCTGACATAGTCGTCCTCAGCCTTCAGTGAGAAGTCAAGAGAAGAGGGGCTACTTCCAAGCAGAGAACACAGCCTGTGACACTCAGACACGGTAGCAGCATGTGGGGTGTGCTTGGGGGTGTGTGTGTGTGTGTGTGCAAGAGTGAGTGTGTGGCACTGGGTGACTTAAGAGAAAACTCATTCTAGGTGCACCCTCCAACAGCCCACTTGACCCAGGTGGAAAAGTGGGGTTTTATGTTACAGAAGTGCCCAGATTTGAGATTTAGAGGGCTTTTTAAACCAAGCCAAGTGCATTGTTTCAGCACTGCTCTTTCTAACGACGTTTTCTCCTCTCTGATGAAGAGGATCCTGGAGGGGTAGGATCCGTGGCACTGCGTAGAAGGGGTCGCTCTAGATCACCTGCATTGGGAGTGCAGCAGTGCCTGAGTCCACCAACGACTACTTTTGGGGTGGTTTTTTTTTTCCTTATTGGACTGTCTTGACCAGAAAGACACACAAGCCCTTTTGTTTCCCTCTTGGTAGGAATTGGAAGGAGAACAGCTCACCATTTCAAGGACGACAAACATTACTCTGATAAGGAGTTGCTGAACTTTAGGTAAATTCAGACTGGGACACTTTATATTTTTTTTTGGGTTAATTTAAGTAATGAAAACTTTTTTTGTAACTGCACTTGATGTACGAGACGAGGGAAATGAACATCTACCAAAGATGATTGCTTGAGAAGGTTGAACTCCTAGAGCCTGAAAGAGAACGAACGGCGTGAGGAGCAGTAGAGGCATTGAACAACCTCAGAGAACAACGTGCTCGGACCCGTTGTGCTTTAAATTGGCCAGCTCTGAAGATTTCATAAAAGAAAAATTCAACAAAGAAGGTGTTTTGTACCTGTAGATATTTGGGACAGTGTTCGACCACCTGGAAGGTTTCCCTGCGGCGCCTCGGTCGGGATCTGCCGTGTCTCCTAGATTTACAGCTTCCCATCAGTTCTGCCAGTGTTAATCTAGCTAATGTTCAGTCTTCCTTCCTCGCCCGATCTGCAACAGGTACTTGAATTTGTTTCCTGACAGAGGTTCTTTGGTTAATGGGTTTCTGTTTTGTTTTGTTTATTTTTTTTCCAATGGCAATGTGACTTGCACACGAAGGAATTGGACTCGCTGCCGGTGGGGAGTGCTGGGAGCTGTGACTGTGGAGCAAGTTCCACGGCTCAAGAGGACTCAGGACTTGAGCTGTGGCTGTTCTCCCTCTCCTCTGCTCCATACCCCTCTCTAGAGCCACAGTCAAGGAGTGGAAATGTTCGAACACTTGCGCCAGATTATTCCCTCCCCCCCCCTCCCCTCCCCTCAAGGAATTGGAACTGATTTGTGTGACTGAATAACGTCCTGTTTTGTCTCCAGATTGCTTGTAATATTTTTCACAGCCAAGCTTGTCAGACTCGCTTTGGGTTTTGTTAGCTCTGCTGCACAACAGTTAACAGAACTTTGGGTTCTTCTTGTTTTTTAATTGTCTTTTCCTTTTAAAGCAGGATTTAGAGTTTTGAACAAACCTCTTGCAGTTGGAACATGTTGCTTATCTGCCTTGAAACTGTTTTTCACATATGCCTTTGTTTTGGGAATAAGCTGTTTGGAATGTCTGTCCTGTGCTGTAACGCGTGCTACAGTTCGCTGTGTGGAATTTGGTCCTTTTGGGAGATAACTGGTGCTCATCACCTCCTGGTAATTCCCCTCGACTAACTCTAGCTCTGGTCTGGATTCTGAACGTGGGCTTGGGGTCTGTTTACCTTCATACCCACATTTTGTGATGTGAATCCCACAGGTCTCAACTCTGAACAGGACAAAAAGGGGGCTGGAGTTTCAGCCCGTGAGAGCGCGCTGTAAATAGAGTCTTTTGAGGAACTGAAAATGAATATTAGGGCTCAAAATGAGAGGTGAATATTTGTATTCGTTCATGGGTCATTCCCTTTGACGTGGGACAGATTTCTTTTTGCCCCTGTAGTCCAGTTCCTGTTCTGAGTGATGTGGGGGCTGGCACACCATTGTCTGGGGGTCTCAGAAGAGCCTCGTGTCTTAAGGTGTGTAGCTGGAAAAGCCACAAAACAAATGCAGCTATGAGAATACTTCAGAAAAGGGAGGACTTAAGAGGGTATCATCAGCTTAGTGTTGTGGGCATTACATTGGTTGCTTTTCTCTTCAACAGGAAGCACTTAAGTTTACTATTGATTAGAAATAACTCCCCATCACTTTTTATTCTTGGCAGTTTTAAAAATCTGCACTGAATCTGCAGCTTTGGCCTGGTAAGTTTGCCCTTCTCCTTTTGGGAAACTAGCTTAAACTGTTTCTCTTTAAATTGTGGATTCCAAAAGAGAAGAGAAAAAGGTGGGGGGAGGAAGAGGGAAGGGAATGGGTGAACTGCAGGCATCCTGCACTGAGACACTACAAAACATGACCCAGAGAGAACAGGAGAATGAAGCTTGTGTAGCTCTGAGCCTCATTCCCTGAATCTCATAAACAGGAATGAAATGAAAACACAGATAGTTCCTGCAGCCACCTTTGAAGGAGTTCAGGATACTAAGGGCCTAAGAGCAGCTAACTGTATTTTTCTTCTTCCACTCCAAACAAACTCCTCCTGGAATTAAATTGGCTGTCTGGCTCAAGTGATAGGAAAAGCCCCACAAACTGTTCACTTTAGCACTTCCCCAATTCTGCCACTTCTGTCAAGTTGCCATACTATGTGTATTAAAGTAATTAAATGCAATCTTCTCACTTAACAATGTATTACCCAGGTATGTAACTTTGTTTAACATAAAGCATTTTGTATATTGTTTACATTTTGAGAGGTAGCATTACGTTACAAATGCTAATTTTTGTTTCTAGACAGTATTTTTATTACCAGAATAAGAAGTGAAGCTGCAAATATTTGATTTGTTTTTAAAAGGGACTTGGTTTTTTTTTTTTTTTTTTTCCTTTCTTTTGGTTTTTGTGTTTTTTTTGTTGTTTTTTTTTTTTTTTAAATCTTGTTTTAGGTCACTTTTTACCCTCGAGTATTTAAAAGGAAAACCCAGCCCTTTCAAATTCTGGTTTTACAACTGCTTGTGCTAGTTTGTTGTCTGTTTCTGGTGTGAATTTAGTTCTAGTTTGCTGAGTGTAGGTATTTCTGTCTGTAGCATGTCCCCTGCAGAACACTTGACACTGAAGTGCATTTGACTGAAAAGCACCCTCGGCTGAAAGAGTGGCAGGAGGTAGACAGGACACTCAGATCCAGGTCAGAGTGCAGGAGTTTTCCAGATGTTGCAGCAGGTTTTTTTGGTTCACTGGAGTTTCAGAGAGGAAACCCAAATCCTTGGCGTGCAGCATCTCTCTCCAGGGCCCACCAGAGGGTGAGTGTGTGAGGAGCCAGCTGCAGGGTCCACAGTCCTGCCTGTCCTGAGGGGCTCTCTCTTTCTGAACGTAGGCTTGATGGGTCAAAATTTAAGAACTACAAACTGCTTTGAACCTAGAACTTAACTCTTCCCTGCTGAGATTGCTCCTGCAGTGTAAAGAAAGGCAGGAGAGGGGAGGAGGAGCGTGGAGTCACAGTTTGGGTGCTGTTCTGCTCCAATAGTGCAATAAAAAACCCACTCAGGAACACGTTGGGTCAGCCTGTAATAGGAACCACGTGTTCTGGAGGTACTGGCAGCACCCACCCTTGGTGGCAGTGCTTGGAGGGGCTGGTGTTTGCTCTGTGAGAACGTCAGCAGGAGCTGACTTCTTACAGGGAGGAGCACTGGGATTGACTGGCCTCTGATGGAGCTGGTTTTAATTGGGAAAGCCACCAGCAGGAAATCCATCCCAGGGAGAACTTCTGGGGTAGTAGGTGACTGCAGATTTCCTGCATTAAACGAGGCTGAGCTCCTCCATCTGAGAGTCCTAGTTTGGAATTGGATCATCACAGTTGGGAAGAACACGAAAACACTCAAGTCTTACAACCTGTTCTGGGAGGAAACTCCTGTTTCCCCTGCCACAGCCCCCTTCAGCAGGGCCACCAGCTGGGACTCACCTCGTAGCCCAGGAGAGGCACCAAGTGAGGCTGGTGGTAGCCCTGGGCCATGCTGGGTGGGGTGGTGTCTTGGCTGGGTGCCTCCCACCCTGTGACTACTATGCAGTCTATGGACGCCTCCCCTCGAGCCACACAGAGGTCAAAGTTTCACCTGGAGGTGGTGCCAGCCCCTCAGAAATCAGCTTGTGGTGCCCTCAGCTCGGTCTGACACTGCAGAACCGACCTGAGACACATCATCCTTTAAAACAGCCCCCAAACCAGGACAGCCATCCTCCCCCTGCCCCTAGCCCCCCGTCTTCATGCCCCGTTTTGGGTTCACCTGTTGACTTTCCCCCCCCTGTTCTCCAGTGTCTGTATTAGCCACTACTGACAGCCTTGCTCTTTGAAGGGACTCTCTGGTGTGACAGAGCTCGGGGAACCAACAGCCAGAGGGTTTGGGCAGGCTCAGTGCTCACCACTTGGCAGTGCTGCTGGCTTTGTTCAGCTGCACGACACCAAACCCAGCCAGCTTGAGTCATGTCAAGCCAGAGCATCCCCCCCAGGCCACCAGGGTGGGCAGGGCTAATCAGTGCAACTGAAAACAATGTGAATAAATTAAGTTGAAAATGAAATAAATTTAAAAAAAAAAAAAAGTTCTAGGTTTTTTTTTTTTCACTGCTGTTTTTTAACTAGGAATTTGAAGTCCTCTGTGCTTGTCTGTTTGCTAGGAGCAGTTTGAGACACTGTTACTGTTTTGAAATGCATGCATGTTACAAGATGAGTCTCCAACCAGAGAAAAAAATAAAATTAAAACTTTGTGTACGTCTGCCCCTTGCTGCTGTCCTCTGTCAAGTGCTCTAACACTCAGCTGGGACTCCAGCAGGTACGTGGTTCTTTTCAGACCCAACTGGGAAAGTCTTTTGATGTGTGCCTGTAAAACAGGGGGGTTTAAGTGAGAACCCATTTACCAAGTCATAGATGTGAGAGGAAATCTCACAGGGAAGGCCAATACTGCTGTGCTGGCTGAGGAACCCCTGCTGGGGTGCAGCTGAAGCTGTCACCCCCCAAATCTGGGTGTACTGCAGAGGTTTAGGGGGGGTGGCTCAGAGGTGAGCTCTGCTACCACATAAACCCAGCTCCTCCTGCTGACTACAGAGATGAGGACTGAATCCTGGAGTTCAGACTCAAGCAAAGGAAAAGTTCACTACAATAGTTTTATTTTAAAAAAATCCAAGCAGAGGGGGGTGTGAAACAGGGGAGCAAAGTGCTGGGCTAGTCCATGCGAGCCTTCAGGGTCCTGGTGGTGATCTTGTCTTTTTCTCTAGAAGGAAAGAGAGAAGATAATCAGCAAATCCACACTGAATACCTACCTGCAGCCTGTCCCCTCCTCGAGAGGTTCAGGGGGTGTAGGGAGGTGGTTCCAGTGCAGGCAGGATGAGCTGAACTCAAAGGTGGCAGTCAGAATGGAGTGAACCCCATCCTGCCACTGCACCCCAGGGGCCTCCTGGAGCTCCCCAGAGCAGCAGTGCCTGGGATGCTGCAGGGAAATGGCACCACAAGCAGAATAAGCTCCTGCAGAAGGCAGAGTGCAGAGTCTGGAAGTTCACGTGGCTCCCAGCTGTGGCAAAGAGCATCCTCTTGGCCAGTGCTCCCCACACGTGAGGAGGCACCCTCTAAATAGCAATGGGAACACAGCCAGGGAATCCCTCTGCAGCAGGAGTGACTCCAGGATTAGTTTCCTGTGGCTCCTGCAGTTCTAGCAACAGCCACGAGCAACAAACCCTTGAGAATGGCACAGAGTTGCCAGAGGTACTGCTGGGAGGGAGCAGGCTGAGAGAGCACCCTGGAAACCAACCCCTGGGCTGACTGTAACCCTCAGCTTGTGAAATCCTCCCTCTGTTGTGCAGGGGAAGGGAGCAGCACTCACATGATGTGTACCACCACGCCCATGCCAGATATGGCATCTCTGTCCACGGCGTTCAGCATGGCCTGCGAGATGGTCTCGAAGAGCTGGTCAGGCTCCTGAGGGACAGAAGCTGCTTTAGTTGGTGTCAACACTGCATTTTTGTTCCAAATACCATCCCAGATGCTGCAAGGCTTCCCCTGCTGGAAGCTACAGCCCCTTTTGTTCTCCTGAGCTCCTCGGAAGTACCCAAAGCACAGAGCTTTCCACCCAGCCCACCCGTCTGGAACCCAGGGAGCAGAGCTGAGCCCGGGCACCTCACTCACCATGTCTGGCTCCCAGAGGGACTCACACATGCCATACATCTGCTCGGAGCAGGTGCCACTGACCACGAAGTCCTCGGTCACCATGGGGCAGCCGATGAGGTCCAGGGAGCAGATGAAGGGCTCGTGGGTCACGGGGTCCAGCCCGGCGATGACGGGCTCTGTGTAGTAAGGTCCAAACCTGGGAAGGACAACAGGGCCTGCAGCAGTCTGACCCCCCTGGAGCAGTTCCACACCCCAGGTAAAGATCCACACAAGGAAAATGTCCCACAGGTGCTTCTCCAGAGACCTTTCAGGTCAACCTAGGAGCAGCCTGCAGTGGTTTCAGCACGGCACACAGAACAATGGACTGCTACAAGATTATTTGAACACTACTCAGTATTCTTTTGAAGGTAACGTTGTCCCTAGACTGAA